GGTTCAAGCACGAACCAGCCGTTTTCATCCAGCAGCTCACAGGGGCGGGGCTGACGCTGCCGTCGGAATTATAATAAAAACATCCCGACCCAAAGGTTTCACACCAGCATCCCTTCATCTCAGAAACAAAACTGGTTTCCTGAGTCTCTGACCGTCAGTGGTCTCTCCTCTTTCATCAGAGCAGAGGAAAGGTCAGCCGATGGTGGCTAACTCTGTTTATGAATGAAATTTTATTCACTTCAGTAGGATTATGGACATTTTTACTATGAGAGAAAACATGAGGAAGACTCCAAAATAGATGTCCAGCTAACTAGCGACCCAGGACTTCAACTAAAGTTAGAAAGATACTGAAATAAATCAGGCTAGCTAAAAGCTAACCATGTTTGTGGCTAATCTTGGGAAGATACCAAAATGGATCAGATGAGCTAATTAACTAACTACCTAACTAACTGACTAAGTATGTTTTCAATTAACGTGCAATTTATCAAAGCAGATCAAGCTAGCTAACCATCTAACCATGTTTCCGACTGAAGTTAGGAAAAAACCTAAATAAATCAGGCTAGCTAAAAAGCTAACCATGTTTATGCTTAATCTTGGAAAGATACTAAAGTAGATCAGCTAACTAACAAACTGTTTCCAACTAACTTATAGAGGGTTGTCTAAGCAGATCAAGCTAGCTAACTAGCTAACCTTGCTTCCGACTAAAAGGCAATCAAACTAGACTAACTGGATAATTATATTTCTGTCAAATGTTAGGAAGACACCAAAATAGATCAGCTTAGCTAATTAGCTACCAACGTTTCTGACTAACATTAGGAAAATTTCACTATAGCTCAGGCTAGCTAACTAGTTAGCTACCACATTTCTAACTAACAAAACAGATCAGACTGGCTAACTAACCATTCTCTTGACTAATGTTAAGAAGATTCCAAAATAGACCTTAGCTAACTAGCTAACCATATTACTGACTAACGTGCAGAGGATACCGAATTAGGCTAACAAACAAGCTCCCGATGCTCCGAACGAAAGTTAGGAATATTGCAAAATGTCAAAACTAATGTCAGGAAGATTCCCAAACAGACCAGACTAGACGAGCTACCGTTTTCGACTAACGTTGGGTGTCTATCAAAACAGATTTAGCTAACTAGCTAATCAAGTTTGCGAAACACTGAAACGCAAAGAGTTTAATTACGACTTCGCAAGTGGGACAACCAGAGCACCCGACAAGCACCCAAAGGCAGCACTACTGCCGTCACTATCGCATCGCTCGCAGAGAACCAGCGAGGTTCGTTCTGCTCGCAGCAGCGAAAGCGAAGCGGCTCCAGATGTTGCTGCAGTAAAGATGAAGGCTGGAATCCTGACCAGCTGCTGACCCGAGAGCCGCTAGGCTGTTTTTCTCCCGCGATGATTCAGATTAGAAACGGCCGCGGCGCACGGGGAGGATAAAACGGCCAGCGAGTGTGAATGTGGGGGGAGAGAGAGAGAGGGAGAGAGGGAGAGAGCGAGCGAGCGAGCGTGCGCAGGAGAGGGAGGCTTTAAATGGCAGACAGGGTGGAGGGGGAACGTTTTAAATGCTAAGTAGGAAGAAGTGATTAGAGGAGCGAGCGAGCGAGAGCAAGAGAGATAGAGAGAGAGAGATTGTGTGCGAAGGCGAGTGAGAGCGTGCTCTGATTGCTTCCCCTCAAAGGGCTCGGCGCAGACTGGGCTCTGCTTGCGTAACGCACACACACAAGCAGAGAGAGAGAGCGAGCGAGCGAGCAGGGCTGAATGCCTCCTCAGCAGAGGGCAGGTCTCCCACCGTGCAGGCTTCACTTCATACAGCCACACACACACGTATTCTACACGTACGTATGTCTATATACACATATAGATATAGATACATATGTATAAGAAATAAAGTAATAGGTAATAAGTAAAAGTGCAGGCTGAAGGCTGTAGGTTGCTATGAATCTGTGATTGTGGCGCTCTCGTTCAAATACAGCTTTTAAATGACTTTTAAAGCTACACTGTCCAGACTGCGCTGGACAGTGCTCGCGGGGCAACTATGGGCAAATCAATGAGCAGCAAACTAACAAAAGCAGCAGCTTGGTGGAGCTCCAGTTCCCCTCGAGACCCTCCACTGTAACAAGAACCCACAAGCTGTATGAACAAGTGAAAGAGGCTACAATAACGGAGGAGCTGAAGCCCTGACTGTATATGTGATATATACACTCGGTGTCTCATTGACCGTTTATATATACGCACACACACATCGCTGCTGTCTGAACCAAACCTTGTATCTCCATTTTTGTCGTTCTTCAGTTTTTAACATAATCTGAAAATGCCTTTACATTGTGTTCAAGATGAATGGACCAGAGGAAGCGGCCCAAAGTGACTTGAAAAGATGTCTGGTTCCATTGACTTACATTGAAAGTAAAGAAGGTTTTTTCCGTCTCCTGTAAAGTTACCATTTTGGAGATATGAGGTTTCTTTCTGACAAAAATATTGATTGTATATAAATATATAAATTAGACGCTCATTGGTTGGAACTTGCAGCCACTGTTGCCTTCACTGAATGTTGCTGATGAAAATTTTGAGCTCTATAGATTTTCTCTATAGTGATTCACACATTCAGGCATATTTTCACACAATGAAAAGAAAATTAAATTATTGAAATAAATACTAATAAATAAATTCTGATAAGCCCATTTTGTCCACTCATACAGCTCTGAGAAAAAAACTTATATGGATATATGTGCGTGTGTGTACAAACCCCCCCACTACACACACACACACACACACACACACAGGCAGTAGAGGCTTGCAGAATTAACACCATGTTCCAGCTCAGATAACTGCAGGAGGTCCGATTAGAATCAGATTAAATCTAACACCCACATACACACACACACACACACCAGCCAGCATGGCTTTCCCAAATACCACCACCATACACACACACACCCACACACCCCCCAAATAACATCAGCAAAATACACACACACACACACACACACACACACACACACACACACACACACACACACACAGAGTAAATCTCCTTTCTGTGAAAGCGGGTTTGCTGTGCTAAAGGCCGCTCACCGCGGCAGCCGTTGCCTAGTAACCAGCTGGCCGAGCGGAGCACGTGCGGCGTCTTGTCGGTACCTGGAGCCGCACTTCCAGGAATGAAGGATGAGGGAGGGAGGAAGGAAAACAGAAAGGAAAGAGACAGAGAGAAAGACAGAAAGAAAGATAAAGAAAGAGAGAGAGAGGAAAAACAGAAAGCAAAATAAAGAGGGATGGAAAAAGAGATGGAGGAGCAGGAAAAGAAAGAAAGTAAGAAAGAAGACGGGTGAAGGGTTGAAAGTAAGACGGAGAAAAAAAACAGAGAGAGAGAAAGAGAGAGAGAGAGAGAGAGAGAGAGAGAGAGAGAGAGAGAGAGAGAGAGAGTGTGTGTGTGTGTGTGTGTGAGAGAGAGAGAGAGCGCATGTGCGTGTGTACTGACCGGACAGAAATCCCTCCATGACGTCGCTGTGGGTCATCTTCAGCAGGCCGCGGCCAGAGTAGGTGGCCAGTGTGGGGTCGGCGCCGTACGACAGCAGCAACCGAACGATATCCAGATGATCGTTCTCCACGGCGTCGTGAAGCGGCCTGAGGGAACAGCACCACCACACAACATTAACACAGCTGAGTTTTCTGTTCAGCCCATCAGTCAGAAATCGGTTCACTCCTAAAAACATCAGTTATGTGGTAAAAACTCCACCTGATCTGCGTCTGCAACACAACACACATCCACCGGGGAATTAACCATAAAAGAACGTGTTTCAGGTCTGTTTTTCACATCCACTTTTACAGATAAACGTGTTTTACAGCGTCAGCAACACTGTAAGCAATTTAACTGTTTTCACCCCATTATTAGCTTCCAATCTTAGCTACATTAGCCTCCAGGTTTCTGTCAAACTGGTGCCTTAATTGCCAAAATTCTTTACCGTTTTGTGAAATAGCGCTCTTTTTCCTTTCTCCCAATCCTAATTAATGTTTTTTTTAAATGAGAATTTGAAATAAAGCATGTTAAAAGTTAAATTTAAAGTAATATGAAGAAAGCGCACTGGAGTGACCCGCCTGTCCAGAATCAATCTCCCTCTCTAATTATCCACGCCGTGTTTCGCAGCCTCTTCTGTTGACGCCAACCCTATTATTACTCAACGTGTAATTAGACGCTCTGTGTGTGTGCGTGCGATGTGTGTGTGTGCTGTGTAATTAATGCTGGAGTAACGCTCACACACACACACACACACACACACAGTAAACCAGAAAAAACAGTGTGTAACAATGGCACAGGAACGTGATGGTGCGGGTATATATATATACACACACACACACTGTTGTCCTTTATATTGTGTGTAAATTTCATGATGAATGGACCAAAAGAAACGGCCCAAAATTACTTGGACAAAAAGTCTGGTTCCATTGACTTACATTAAAAGCAAAGCATGTTTTTTCCTTCTGCTGTAAAGTTACCATTGTGGACATACGAGGTTTTGTTCCAACAACAAATGGGATTATTTGAAGCAGCAACCAACTTCTAGGACTGAACTTGGGAGGTGAGGAAAAGCCTCCTTTTGACTAGAAATTAATAAACAGAAGAACAGGGGCCATTTCTATGTGTCCACTCATCATTTAAACGGTCACACAAGTAAAGGGCAGCTGGCTTAAACATTAGCCTTTGGTAATTTAGCCAATCAGTTATTTTCAGACATTTTATTTTTAACCACTAATATAGTCAAAAAAAAGTAAACGTTTGAGATTTTCCCACGACGTATGAATGAATGAGTCGGCTGAATGTCCGTGTACCTGGTGCCGTCCTGTGCGCTGCAGTTGATGTCTGCTCCGTGCTGCAGCAGGTGCTGGACGATGGAGAACCAGCCGCGAGCGCATGCCTCATGCAGCGCGCAATATCCCGCATTATCACGATGATTTACGTCGCACACCTTATTCTCCAGACAGTACAACACCACCTCCTACACAAACAGAGAGAGAGAGAAAGATAAATAAATACACCACACCAGACAAATACACAGCATAGACTAACAAAAACAATCAGTCAAATTACAAATTATAGAGGTACGGAGAACAAAAAGGAGAAAAAGAGAGACGATCCAAGCTACTGCTTTCATAGCTATCATATATCATATATAGCTATATCAACTTAAGTCAACTCATTTTCATTATTTCTTTCTTATTATTCAGTTTTTTTTGTAATGTTTTGACGGTAAGAAAACACTTTAGCAACCACCTGAAATACCACATCAGTAGTCTAGCAACACCTTAGCAAAAATTGAAGGAATCTTCGTATAAAGCCTACAAATGCAGCCTATGTTCGGAGTGATGTCGAGGACACATCTGATGTATCCTTCCAGGCCTTCGGTTACCCACAGTTCTCTGCACACGAACGACGCGAACAATGAACAGCACAATGAAAATGCCGGAAAATGGAGTTGTTGGAGCAGAGCCTGTTTTAAAATGTAAGCTGTTCACATCCTTGAAGTCATTTTTGTTACCTTATAAAGCGCAAACTGATTGATTAATTAAAGCATTCATTGATGTATCGTATGTCGTCCATATACCGTATTTACTCAGAAGTATTTGTATATATGTAGTTTATTGTACTACATAAGCTTGTTGGCGTATTAGCTACCATAGCAACAAACACAATGCAGTGGGCTCCATTTTCTCTCACCGGTTCCCTCAAGTTTTGCGGCACCATTTTAAGAGGCGGGACCTTTCTGATGACGTCACCATGCCTCCTCATTAGGGCTGTTCCATTTGTGTGACCAACAGGCAGCTACAGGAGGAGTCTTCATGGGATAGTCCTACCGAGGACCCGCCCTACCTCGGCTGCAGCCTTTGGAACTCAGCTACTGTGACATTGACCTCTTTTCACTCTAGACTCAATTGGAGCAAAATCTGAATCTGACCAGTGGTCAGTGTGGACGGTCAGTGGAGCACTGAACTGTCAATCACTTTCAGCCTCGATAGTCCAACAGTCACAGAAACATTCATCCCACCACACACACACACACACACACAGGCCGGCTGGCGGGCGTCTGGTAGCCAGATGAACGTAAGCGGTGGGATTCAGGTGGCATAGCACCAACACATACACCCTCGCTCCTCTCTCTCTTTCTCTCTCTCTCCGTATCCTGGATACAGCCTGTTGTGCGCGTGCGCCCCGAGCGAGACGAGAACGCGGCGCCGGCCAGCCGACTGCACACACACACACACACACACACACAGCTTACACCACGACCGGCAGCCTAGACAAACACACACACCCCACCACACCGCAGATTAACAAAAACACACCCACAACACGTCTGATTAAAACAAACACACACACACAGAAACTCCCTGATTTTCGGGAGTTCTTTTCATTTCCTTTCTTATTCCTGCCCCTCCGCTCACTCCCTCCGCCAGGACGCTGTATTTCTGCACTGGCAGGGAATATTTCTCCCTCTCTCCCTCCATCTCTCTCTCTCTCTGGCCTGGGGGGAGTTTGGTAGTGGAACAAGTGTGGAGCGCTCGCAGCCAGCGGAGCTAAGCGATGCATTATACAGACAATAAAGCTGTATTTAACAGCCCAGAGAGAGAGAGAAAGAGAGAGAGAGAGAGACAAAGAAGAGAGAGAGATAGAGAAAGTCAGAGGTAGAAAGAGAACACACGAGAGAGAGAGAGAGAGAGAGAGAGAGAGAGAGAGAGAGGGTATCAGAATGCTGATTTCTCCGCAGTAAAAGCTCCCCCCCCACCTCCTCCCCCGCTTTTAATCTCCCTTGCTAAAAACGCCTTCCAGCCAACAACTGCAATCAATGCATCACTCAGACACTTAACCCTTCACACACACACACACACACACACACACACACCACACACACAGCCGAGCGGTCGAGCTCGCTCAGACACACTTCACACACTTCAACTCAAGAACGCTGTAATGCAAAGCAAAATCCTGCACTGATGGACAGAATCAGCCGGGAGAGATGAGACGAGAAGACAGAAAAAGAGGCAAGAAACCAGAATAACTGAAAAGAGAAGAAACGTGAGAAGGAACAGAAAAGACGAAGAGAAGCAACGCATGAGACGGGACAAGGAGAGTAGAGATGAGAGGACGAGAGGAGATGAGGCAAGAAGAGGTGAGACAAAATGAGAACAGAAGAGGCACGATGAGGCTAGAAGAGATGAGACAAACTGAGGAGAGACAAGATGAGACTAGAAGAGATGAGACAGGAAAAGATGAAATGAGAAGAGAAGAGACAAGGAGAGATGAGATGAGACAAGAGACGGGAAAAGAAGAAAAGAAACATGACAAAATGAGATGAGAAAAGATAAGACAAATGAGAAGACAAGAAGAGACTAGGAGAAATGAGATGAAATGAAGAGAGACAAGATGAGACTAGAAGAGCAGAAATGAGACAAAATGAGAAGAGAAGAGACTAGAAGCGATGAGATGGGAAAAGAAGAGACAAGATGAGACTAGAAAAGGTGAGACAAAATGAGAGCAGACAAGATGAGACTAGACAAGATGAGACTTGAAGAGCAGAGCTGAGACAAAATGAGAAGAGACAAGATGAAACTAGAAGAGGTGACACAAAATAAGAAGAGAAGAGACAAGATGAGCCTGGAAGAGCCGAGATGAGAAGAGAAGAGAAAAGGCAAGACGAGAAGAGAAAAGACGAGAGAAAAATCGAAGACAAAAGTCAATATGAGACAAGGGAAGAGAAGGCAAACCACAAAAAGAGACAAGAAGAGATGAGACGAGAAGAGAATGACAGATGAGAAGAAATGATAACAGAACTGAAAAATGAAACAAGGAGAGATGAAGAGAAAAGACATGAAAAGAGACGAGAAGAGAGGGGAGATGAGAAGCGACAAGAACAACAGAAGAGGAGAAAAGAGGAAAAGGAGGAAAAGAAAAGAAAAAATGAGAGGAGAAAAGATGAGTTAATTCTGTGTTTATACTGCTGCGTCTCAGAGTGTCTCTGCTCTGTATCTGAGACAGAGAAACGAGACCACCGGTCAGACCGCAGATCAGCGTGTGTTCTGCTGTAGCCACGACAACTCTTATTACACACACGCAGACACACACACACACACACAGACACACACACAGACACACACACAGACACACACACACACACACACACAGACACACACACAGACACACAGACACACACACACACACAGACACACACACAGACACACACACAGACACACACACAGACACACACAGACACACACAGACACACACACAGACACACACACACACACAGACACACACACACAGACACACACACACACACAGACACACACACAGACACACACACACACACAGACACACACACAGACACACAGACACACAGCAAGAAAGAAGAAAAAATCTAAACCAGCTTGAGAATTTTGCCACAATTACAGGCAATTAAAGTGGAATTGGAGACTCTCTCATCTCTCTCTCTTCAAATCTGTCTCATCTTTCTCCTCCCATCTTTCTCCCTCCTTTACATCTCTGTCGCTCCATCCTTCTCATTTCTCTCTTCCTCTCGTTTCTTTCGCTCCTTCCCTCTCATCTCTCTCTCCCTCTTGTTTCTCTCATTCCTTCCTTCTCATTTCTCTGTCTCCTTCTTATTTCTCTCTCTCCCTCTTTTGCATTTCTCTCGTTCCTTTTCAAAAGCTGTTGAATCCCTGAGGAATCGAGTCTGCGTCCGCTAGAGAGAGAGAGAGAGAGAGAGAGAGAGAGAGAGAGAGAGAGAGAGAAAACGAACCGCAGCCACACACTCTGCTCTGACGAGCGTTCTAATTTTACACACACACACACACACACACACACACACACACACAGGCACGACTCGGGGAACAAAAACAACAGACTCCGGGCTGCACGGACGGATGTCACGTTGGCTCAGGAAGCGTGAGAGAAGTGGCGGGGTGGAAGGGGGGACGAGAAGAGGGGGAGAGAGAGAGAGAGAGAGAGAGAGAGAGAGAGATGGAGGAAAAATAAAGAGAGAGAGAGAATGAGACGAGAGAATAAAGGAGAGCGAGACAGACAGACAAAGAAAGAGCGAGAGAGAGCGAACAAGTCGGGTGAAGAAGGAAAGACGACAGACGGGGAGAGAGACGGGCGGCATTACAATGGGACACTTCCAGAAATGTTCTAGTGTAGTTATTATCAGAGAGAGAGAGACAGAGAGAGAGAGAGAGAGAGAGAGAGAGAGAGAGAGCGAATGAGAGGACGAGAGACCTTTCTTTAGTGTACTGCTGGAAATAAATAAATAAATAAGGAAACTACACGGCTATAAATTATGCAGCAGCTCCTATACATGAGAAAAACACACGGTGTGTGTGTGTGTGTGTGTGTGTGTGTGTGTGTGTGTGTGTATACACACAGACTCTATGCTTGTTGTGTTTCACACACAAACACACACACACACACTGAAGAGGCTGGAAGCTGTTATTTTCTCCGTGGTGACGACCATCGCTAGCAACAAAACACAGACACACTGCACTCTATACACGCCTTCACACTTCCTACATGTTAAACCAGTGCAGACTTTGCTCCACCGTCTCACTCGGGTTTAAAGTGATGCTTCAGCTAAAAATCAGATCTCCAGCTCCCCCTCATGCAGTCAGCCGGATGAGACAGGTTTAGTGTCAGACCTTTTGCACTGGAGCTACGAGGCTAATGTGGCTAACAAGTGATGGTAGCATATGTACACCAATTAGCATTATGCAAACTGCACACCTAATCATCACACACTGGTGAGCTGTGAAGTGATCTTTGGTGTCAGACAGTGCATCAATTCAAACTGAATTTGCATCATAACTTTCCAATTTGCATAATAATGATAATAATAATAGTAATAATAATAATAGCATTCTCAGGTCATTATAAAGCTGTGTTCAGCAGTCTGAACGTTCTGCACAAGGGGGACACTATTAGCATTCAAATCGCTTAAGCATCACTTAAAGA